CCATTATTTCTTGTATTGCTTAAGAAGTGGTATGTAATCTTGAAATTAAAGGTCAAGTCATAATGCGTGTAGCTAAGGACACAGAGATAGGGTTGTGTGAATAACTTCTGAGTGTGTGGCTATGTCACCATAACATCCTCTTAATATCACTTATTACTTAAATAATGCTTGATGGAGAGAAAGGAGATTCAGTGAGTCACAGTGTGCGGTGGGTACCTGAGTCAAGTGGGACTAGAACATCTCCCCACTGCCTGACCCACCTCCTGATGCTGATCTCTGTGATGCTTTCTGTCCTCCTCCTGCACTGGAAAGGCAATGCTCCATCTTGAGCTGTCCTAGCTCCCCCCAAATCCATTGGGTAGCTTTTTGCCTATACAAGTTAGTTTTTCATCCACTTTTTACAGTTCTTACTAGAATCCCCAAAGTGGCATTTAGAATTAGGTTCTATACTAATGCATCCATGAACTGAGCTGCATAAACTCTTCTTGACCTGTCTAGTGGGTTCAGATCTGCTATGCTCTGCTATCCAAGTATTGGAAAAGATCACTGTGTGCATCTACATATGTGCTTTACTGCGGAGTAGACTATTTAGCTCTGCAGTAGTGTCACCAGCTAAATGTGTGCTGGTATTAGGATGCAGTAAACTTAATTAACTCCATCATAAGAAAATACTGTCAATCTTATAGTGAAGTGATTAACTGCACTGAAACTCATGTGTAGATGGTGACTACGCAGGGATCTGACTCCTGCCTACTGCCTAGCCACTTGGCTCTCCAGGGTCAGCACCCTTGTGCCCCAGCCAGCTCCTCCACCACCCAGAGCTTAGGGCTGACCCCCCTGTGCCCTTTCCAGCCCAGGCCTGCTCTGCCCCAGCTCAAATTGCTCCGGTCCTGGATGCATGTGTAGATGCTGTGCCCAGAAGCAGTTTACTCTGGCTCAACAGCTCCAGAATTTACTGCTATGCCTTAATTTCACATGTAGACACACTTGCTTAGTCCCCAGGAATTTTTGCTTTGTTTCTTTCTGGATGGGGAGGCCAACATGCCCCTCTTGAGCCATGAGAAGTCCCATCTTCTAAGGAAACCCCTTCAGCCCCACTGGAAACCTCAATGACCAAGGTAGCAGCTTGTCAAGTCATGCAAAGCACTTTTGTCATCCCTTGAGATTTCCACCTACTATAAGAAGGGACCAGGGTTGCAATACATCTGCTGGGACTGCTGCTGTCTAGGGCTCAGGTATACTGTGGCTCTCCCCATTTTGCTTTTACCTAAGTGATGATGCTCCACCACATCTGGAGTCCACTGCTAACCTTCACTTAGTAATTATGTATCCATTTGTTTTCTGTCTTGCTCCTTGGCTAAAGTGAGAATGTGTATTCTTACCTGAAAAACAATAAAACATTCCTCTGTAACATTTGTGCTCACAGTTGTCTTTTTTTTGGGGGGGAAGGGGAGCAGGGGAGGGGACATGGTTTAAAGGTATGTATCTGGGGGTGGAGCAATTGAGACCACACATTCTGCACTGTGTTATTGGAAAAATAAACACATACTTCTTGCAGATCTAGCTTATGTTTTAAGTTTCTCTAAATATGCACAAATCAATTACCTACCAGGAGTTGTGTGCACAGCACCAACCTATAAGCACAAGGGTATCTATAAGGTCAGAAAAGGATGCTTGTGAGCATCGAATTTGACCTCTTGCATAACTCAGAACAGAGAATCCCATCCAGCAGTTCTGGCAGCAAATCCATTTCATGGGGTTCACCGAACATACATGTGTTTAGAATGATCTGTGCAAACTTGATTTAAAGATGTCATGAGATAGCGGATCCACTCTATCCCTTGCTGTATCATTCCAGTGGCCAGGTACCCTAACTGTTATCCCTTACACACTATTTTTAACTTGAACTGACCGTCAGCTTCCAGTCACTCCATTCAGTTATGACTTCATCTGAAAAACTAAAGAGCCTGTCACTGTTAGAAATATTTTCTTCAGGGAGATGTATGTAGACTGATAAAAGTCACTTCTTGACCTTCTCTTGAATATGTAGACTGAGTATCTTAGGATAGTCTCTCACATTTAATGTATGTGTGTGTGTGTGTGTGTGTATATATATTAGGTAAAGCCATAAGGGGAGCATCTACTGTACATGTTTCATTTCCCTCTACCCTTTTGATCTCCCTTTTCTTTGCTGAACCTGTGCATCCTATGTAAAACAGATAGCATTAAAATGCTGATATTCAGGACATAGAAGTCCAGTGCTAAGTGGTAAGCTGCACTTCCCCTTACAATCCTTACAGGGACCTTGCGTTACTGACCAGTCTCACCTGTATCCTTTGTGTATATGAAGGTCAAACAGGAGCCCAGTGTTTGGGTGGTTGTTACTGCTTTCTTCCTCTTCTCATTTTTACACCACATTTGACCACTGTGATTCCTTCTGAGACTGAGGGAGTGATTTTGGCTGGGTGCCAACTGGTTAACAGACAGGTATTTATTGAAACTGTCTGTTATCTGAATGTCTATTAAGCACTCCTTTGTCAAATGGTATATTAGATGGTGAGAAGACTGTTCAGACAATGCAAAATGGCCTTCATTAGAACAGATCTAATAATCCATCACTTTGTCAAAGACAACAATTCTCTCTACATTTCTCCTTGGAGTCATAAGCACAGCAGTGTCACTCTAAGCATATTCACTTAGTACCTCAAGTGAGTTGAGGATCCAAATTGTTCTTTTGGTACAAGGAAGGTCCGAATTTTCAGGAAACTTCCTTTTATTTTCTGGCCCTTGAGAACCAGTTCAAATAATTTCTTCAGTGTTACTTGGAAGGCATCAGTTAGATGCAATTTCAGTCTCTGAGAAAAAGGTGGTAGAAGGCAGGGTAGATCTGCACCTTATAGACTGGGATGGGCAAAATGGCAGATCCAGCTAGTGGCCAGACTCCATTTCCCAGCAGCCCCTGCCCATATTGCTACAGCTGGTTTCCACGGAGTCCCCAGGAGTGGCAGTGCTGTAACAGTGTGAGACCAGGATCTGCCTGGAGACCACACTGGCAGGGCAAGGGCTCAGCAGGGAGCTCTTCTGGGGCCAGAGCTGGGATCTTGCAGTGGTGACAGTGGTCCAGAGCCAGGGCAGAGCCACAATCTGCTGCCTTCACAACCCTGCCCAGGGCATGTGGGCAGTGGATTGCAGCTCTGACCTGGCACCAGACTACACTCACTGCCACAAGATCCCAGCCCCAGAGCAGCTGCCTGCCCAGCCGTGCGCCCTGCCAGCACTGCTGGGGCCAGTCTTCATGGAAACTCTGGCCCCATACTGTCATGGCACTGCCATTCCTGGGGTCTCCATGGAAATTGGGGTCTCCATGGAAACTGGCCACAGGGACAGGGACAGGGTCTGCTGGGAAATGAAATGCACTATGGGCCAGATCAGGATCACTGGCCAGACTTGGCCTGCCCATTATAGACTAAATATAGCTTCTGTGATATATCTACCGAAGTAGATATACAGCACAAGCTTTTATAAGCTGAAGCTCACTTCAACAGATGCTGTGAAAGGACATGCATAAAACTGTGTATAAGAATGAAAGAGATATTTGAATATAGAAGCAGAAGAGAAGGGTAGAGAGGGGAGGGGGGAAGCTGGGAGAAGGGTAGAGCTTGATCCCTAAGCAGGAGGGATTCCTTATCTTCAACTTAGTATTACATATGGCTTTCTATATTTGATGGTGCCATGAATCCCTATGTTAAAAATCCTCACCTACCTAACATATTTAACATTTTTCACACTATCAAGGTTCAAAAGTT